CCGGGGCAACTTCGTCAATTTCTCTCTTCTTGTAAAGTTGTAATTATTTTAATTATTTTTATTTCCAAACTGATTTTAACCAGTTCTATAGTAAGGTAACATTCCAATAGACAATATGCAAAGCTTTTTTTTCAGTTTACAGCAGTATTTATTACACAAAATTTAAGTAAAGCTTAACATGCCGAACTTGCCCCGATCTCCCCTATATTTAACAGTAAGAATCAATATTTGTTAAATAACTATAAATTTGTATATTTTATATATCGTTCTACTATTTTAATTATATGTACAAAAATTTTATGGTGTCATGTAGTCACCTAATTCTTCTAGTTTGTAATATGCAAACTCGTGGTGTAGAAGTGCCATATCGTGGTTAATGGTACGTTTGAATTATATACATGTGTTTTAGATTATTTTTGTACAATTTACTTGTAAAATATGATATTCTGAATATTATATGTATTCTTTATTGTTTAGTTGAATGATGAGGGGCCAACAGCCCTAAACGTGTAAAAGTACTGTATCAGTTAAATAAAGATGGAAAAGAAGCCATGTGTTTGATAAATAACACGATCTTGTGTTTAATACTCTCAAATAATAATATTGTCTTAATTCGTTCATAAAACGACCTAATCCCCTGCAGCTGTAAATATATAATAAGATAATGTGTATAATATAATAAAGCACAATTTCCAAAACAATTAAGTATTTTATTCTGTTAAAAAAGAAAATAGATGAGGATAAAATCAGAAAGACAAGTAAAAAAGTGAACATTTGAAAATGTCTCAAAAATATTTTTAACATTTAGCAAGAAATTATATATAATTAATTTTAACTAAGTATTTTAATCAAAAACGTTCTTAAATATAAATAGTATACTGATGTATTCCGCGTGGTTATATTAAAAAAGAAAAATGTCGAGGCAGTGGTTGTGAAACAAGTTATTAAGTAGATTAGTAATGGAATCTCGTTTAATTAAGTATGTAAAGTTCTTTATAGAAGAAAATTTTAAATTAAGAAAAAATTAAAAAAAAAACAATTTATTCCGGAAACGAATATAAATATTTATTGAAAATTATTTGTATTCTTCATAACAAATTTTATACCATAAACTTATAATTTAAAAACGATTTATCTAAATATATCTATGAACACTTACTATTGATACTTTCCATAACAATCACAACTACACGTGAACAGAGCAAAATAAGAAATGTTGTAAATCTCATCTTATACTCTACACATCGCCAAACTAATAAGAATTAAAAAAAACAAGACATTTCGTATTCGATAGTGTTGACATTGATGACGTTGATGGTGATTGACGACGAAATAATTAATTGTCATAAACGTTACTGTTTTATTATTATTTCTTTTGAATATTATAATTATCGCAAATGTTAAGATATCGTATTGAAGTATCTATTTTTTTTCGAAGTAAACACAAGAATACAAGTTCATTTTTAGATTGTTCTATAAGACATTTAGTTTTTTTTATAATTTTTAAACCTATACAAACTAAATTTTTTAAACGTATAATTATAATTTTCCATGTCTACATTTATTCTTTTTCCTTACTAAGAAATGTTCTCGATAATGACAACAAAAGTTCAAGTATATAACATTTATTTCAATATAGTCACCCCTAAATATAGCTCCACCAATCGTACGCCTGTGAATATGTTACTAAATTGAGTGTGGCGCTAAACTAAATTCCCGAAACAACAAGAAACATATGTGATTATAATGCTTATAAACAAGATTCAGTTTCGACCGTATATTTTAAAATATATTTTAATTTTATAACATTTATTTTCAGATACAGTATTATCAATTCATTAAATATCAAAATTAATCGATATATTATTTTATCCGCTACAATTTTCAAATTGCAGACTGGCGTCTGGCTATCTGTCTGACTATCCTTCCTTAATGTCGAGAACGGAGTCCTGAAAGTCGAGACCATATGTGGAGGCCCCAATTAAATATATACGAACTTCCAACCTGAAAGTCACGATACTTAAATTCAAAAGTTTTTCCCTAACATAGTTAGATATATGATCGGCATGGACTCTCTTGTTAACCGCAAAAGTATGATGTATTATACAGGGCATTACAAGATACTATAAAAATAATGTGCATTGTGCATGGTAGTAGTAGTACAGTAGAACCTAGATTATCCGGACGAATTAGGGATGAAAGTAGTCCGGATACGGAAAAATTCGGATATTCGAAACAAATACTTTAATTTGTCTTTTAATGATAATACAACACGTTTTCTTTTCGATGACATATCGGTAATATTAAAAATAAGTATTGTATTTAAATCGTGATAAAATTTTCAAGAAACAAATGTTTGTATTGAATTTGGACTACTGACCAGCGCTAACAGACTACCTATTGTTTAAAAGGCCCTCTGGTGGCGGAAGAAGACGGATTTTATAAAATAAAAAGCAGTTGAAACTGCATTTTTATGAATAAAAATTTGACAAACTATTTATCGTTTTATGATGAGTAAAATTTTTTCGTCGCGTTCGCGGCTTTTAAGTAATGCATAAACCTTCGAGGCGCGAGGCCCTTTGGGCCACGAGGCATAGGCGTTGGCCCACGTCGTCCATGCCTTACGCCGCCCTTAGTCGTAGAAATGATGTAATTTGAATATAAATTATTTATAAATACGTATGTCAAGTTATATGTTTATTACGATGTAAAATATATTTAAGAGTTTACGACCACTGTGCTGGGTGAGACGCTGTTGAAACAAAAAAGTTATTCATTCCATCACGTACATAAACGGTGTCGTAATTCGCCAACTGCAAATCAGCAAATTCGTAAAATTTTTGTTTATTTTGAACAATTCGGATAATCGAAAATCCGGATAACAGAGGTCCGGATAATCGAGGTTCTACTGTCGTAGTAGTAGCAGCAGCAGTAGTTCCTCCAATGCTAAGTAGTATACCAAGGCGGCAATTATCATCCATCGATTTCGATCCTGGGCGAGGGCTTCAGCTTCCTCCCACGTCACATTGAGCATCTTCAAATATTGAAGAAACGTTCTACGCCAGGTATTCCTGGGTTGTCCGTGTAGTCGTTTTGCACCAGGGAAACCCATTTCATAGCTATCTTAGGTATCCAATTGTTTTCCATACGAGAACTGTGGCCGAATGGTCGGATTCTTCTACGAGCGACAATGTTATGAAGTTGTCACATCCCACTACTTCGGAGAACCTCTTCATTCGTGATATGATCTAAATATCGGATTTTTACGATTTGTCGTACGCATCTCTGATGGAAGACATCGAGCCTTCTATTGATGTTTTCCGTTGTCTTCCAGGACTCTCTAGCATAAATAGCTATCAGTATCACGATGTAGGTAAACAAGCACAATTTGGTTCTCAAACAGATGGATAGTGAGGACCAGATCTTATTCGTTCGGCGGAAGATTGTCGCTGCCTTTCCAATGCGGCATCTCACATCCATCTCCGTGTCGCCATTCTGGAAAATAACACTACTCGACTAGGTCAAACTCTCTACTAGTGATTACCGAATATTACATTACCGGTTAATCGGTAATTTACCGGTAAATTCCTAAATTAACAAATGATTTAAAACGAAAGTGAATTACTGACAGAATTATTGGACAACCATGTAATTTTATAAATAGGCTCTTAAAAAACACAATATATTTATGGTCTCGTTGTCTAATCTAGATCTAATTTTCGTACAAATGACAGCTGTCTTAGAAAAAGCTGTCTCGGAATCAATACTAGTTGGTCGTCTTTCATTAGAGCATTGAAAATCTTTTTAAGATACGTTTCTTGTATTTTTTGCTCTAAGAAATACGGTACTTCATTTCTTTCTTAACTATATCTTTCACACTTTTAAACTTACTTATATTATTGTTATCAGTGTCTACGCTCGTTTTATGTTTAATGACTAAGTGTAATTTCTTTTTCATTGTTAAATTTGACTTTTCTATTGTGCACTTTGTTCTCGTTGGACGTGAGAAGTTGGTGTGGTAAGCAATGAACACCTCTCATTGGAATCTGAGTCCGAACTAATTTCACTGACATCCTCAAGTCATGATTCGTTTATATTTTCTGATAACTGATTGATTATTTTTACAATTCTGTTTAAAATTATATTTTTGTTAACATTATTGGATATTTCGTGTTACTTATATTTGTTCAATTTTTCTGGGTTATTTTCCTGTATTATACTCTAAAAGCGAAAGTTGATTTTCGAGTATAATACAGGGAATCAAGTTATAAAAAAAACTAGAAAATTCCTTCTAATAATCTTAAATTAAAAATGGAATGACCCATCACCACCTGCACTGTTTTCTCCCTACACTGTAGTATGGAGGAGACAAAAAAAATCTGCTTCTCACGGGAAATACCCTTGGGAATTTTAGGAAAATAAATATCGGGTTAATTAATAGGATTTTTAACCGAAATACGGGTATAAAAATTAATTATCGGTAAATTTACGGGGGTATAATTTTCCTAATTTACCGGTATACCAATAAACCGTTACAGGTAATGCAATCACTACTCCACCTCCTCCAGTCGTTGTGCTCTGACCATTACTTCCCGCGTTTAGGCAGTGTTACCCAGCATTGTGCATACAGATCTAAAATGTTGCAGCCTAGCATTGTGCTGATGTCACAATAAATAATTAGTCGTTATCATATATTATTTAACAATTGGAAAATCGCAATAATTATGGTATTTTATTTACAAGATTTATAAGATGTATAAGCGATTTATGGCAAATGAATGAAATTTAAATAGTGCACATTTTCAACGAATTAAATTTAAAGAATGAATTGTATAGATCTCCTGAATCTAATATAACTGATTAATTTTAATGAAATAAATTGCTATGGTGAATGATGAAACGATAGATTTGATTACAATTAGACTCCGCAATGTCACGAATTGGTTGTGCTCGTTACTGGTTAATTTAAATTACTACTTCGCTATGCGTCTAGATTAACAATTAGAACTCGAACATTTTTCTCTGTGGACTTTAACTCAATGTTTCTCTCTACTACCGTCAAACGTACACCTCTGGTAAGTATGATAACTAGTGAATATTTAAATAGAAATTATTTTTGGCTTTTTAATTGTCGATTTTATTGATGTACTGTACAGTACGGTACAGTACATCGACATAAGGAAATTATGACTTGCAAATTTATGATTGTACTTTAACATATATTGCTCTCCTGTAACTTGTATCTATGTTCCCTATCTCCAGCTATGCCTAGCGGTGCTGGTTATGCACGCATTTGTGCTTTAATAAAATAACTGAACTGAACTGAACTGAACTGTACTTTAACTATAATTTATATTGTAGTAGATATTTTTGAGTACTTTTTCTTGCTATATAACTAATAATAGACAGATGTCATCGTCTCTTCAAATACAGTATCTTTTTTTATTTCTGTCACTAGCCCGACACGTGTTCCGCAGCCATCTTTTATTTTCTCGCGCGCGTGGAATTGTGAAATCTTACTTATGATAGGATCTACTTTCAAAAACTCTCTTCAGTTCAGATTAAAACGTCGAGGGACGTCTCAGCAAGGCAAAGTCGCCGACCTTGGTCATAATCTAGATTGACATGCTCGGTACGAACGGAGTATAAAAGTATAATGCAAAACCACCGAACGGTTTTTTTTATTTCTCTGCATTTGCTTGTCTCAAGCTATCGATCATAATTGATAGTAGTCACTGTCCAACCATGGACATTTAATCAAAATTTATAACCTTTGTTTCTTGAAATACTTGCTCAGTTTCATACTGTACAAGCTGTAGCAATCTTTGGCGATTACTATGTAATTTTAAAGTAGAATGTATTGTTTATCCAGAATTATTATTGGCAGCAATTTCAGTTCGATCTATCATTAAAACATTATTGCTGCTATATACTAAAGTTACTGTTTCGACAGTTCACGAATGACATTACTGTCATGTCCAAAGACTCAGCTTAATTCTTTCGAATTTTATCCATCGATGTAGTTGGCTGAAAATTTAATATATTGTAGTTCTTGAATAATTGATCAAAAGTTTTGATGATCACGAAGCATGAAATGACTAGTTTTGTTTGCAGTGCAGCCGTTCAAATATATGAAAAATGCAGGCTATATAGTAACAAGAATGGATGATATGAAAATTTTTTCTTCGGTTAATTATTTCAAAAACTGATATGGAAATTACTGTTGTTCTTTTGCTAATGTATTATATGTCGAGAACGTACTAACCAATGTTGCGAATTTCTGTCCCATCACCCTGTTTATCGGAGAAAGCTGTTGTATTCGTAGTGGCTATTAAAAATAGAGTCAATTAAAACCTCTTATCATATGAAAAATTAACTGTTACTTACCTTTTAATTCATCAGAATTATCAAGTAGAATTCCGGAATAGACCATCAAATATGATAGGTGAATGTATGATTGCACAGCATGCAACGGGAAGTAGCGTATCGTGTAATAACACGCATGTAATGTAAAATTAGCTAAATGATGCCGAAAGACAAGTGATCCAATTTAATAGAAAATATCACACGCGGTTAAATGAAACAGTGTTAACAATCACATATCACTATTAATCTTCGCCTATTTATGTCATAAATTACGCAACTTATCATAGTCCACAATCCAATCATCAGAGTTTCTCAAATTCTAATTTACTATTTACTTTAATTACTATTTATATATTATAATATTCCTGCAAGTATTAAGTATTTTTAAGAGTATTTTCAGATTATTTTAATAATGTTTTATTGCACCTTCTTATTAAATACATATTTTAATTGCTACGGTATAACACATAATTATAAGTTTTATGTTTAATATTAATTAAATTTGGATAAATATAAAGAAAAAAGTTTTGTTTAATAATCGAAATTTAATAATAATAATCGAATAAGAACTTTTGAAAAATATATTTATAAAGATAATCATATTACTGGCTGTTGATAAAATATATAAATTTTGTTATAAATGATACGTTTCTACATAAAATTTAGAAAATATGAAACGAATAAAAATGTACTTGATGAAATCAGATAATTATATCTTTTGAATAGTAAATGTCTTCACATATAGAAAATTATATAGACCTAGAAAAATAGAAAAATCAATTTTCGGATGATATCGAATGAGAAAATCTAAAAAAAAAGTAGTGTTTGTATTTCTTCCGTCAATCATAATTATTTTTTACATTTATTAATAAATAAAAAATAAATGTTGATATATATTAATTAATATTCCACTATTTAGATATAATTTATCGATATGTATGGTATCTTTTAATATCTCTTTCGTATATAAATACGAAATAAGGGGTGTAAATACATCTTTTCAATAATTAATTATTTTGAGGGTTATTATGGTTTTATTATTCATTCGCTTTACGACCCAATCAATTTGCATTATATAGATTTATGCAGTTTTTTTATGTTAATTAGCGTGTGCGTTAGGTCAAAGGTTGTTTAATAAAGTTTATTTGCTTAGAAATCTCACAAATACGCCTTCGAAGATCATATTCTTTAGAATATAACTATCAGAAAATGATGTGTAAATTTTTGTATAAGAATTATTAATTATAAATCTAAATACACACTCATACGCACACAAAGAAATAAAAAGCGAGATTCGTATTCGTTTATCGTTTTTTCAACCAATCATTAATATTGCCATAGCGACAACTTCGATATATTAACAAAACAACTTGTTTATATTGAATTCCTTCATTCGATACTCGTGAATAATAAAATGATTTGTTATATTTTTAGGGTGTTTATTTTCGTGTTTAACGTGGTTCTCGGTCAAAGACGTAAGTATAACGTTTTTAAATGCAGCTAACTAACTTATGTTAAAACTAAATAAAGTATATTTAATAATGGGCTGTGTTAAATTAATAGTAATTAAACTAAATATAATTATTGGCGTTTCTATACTGTATATATAATCGAGACGAGTTGATAATGATAATGATAATGATAATGATAATAAGCGCAGAGCCCAAACGGTTAGGAGTTGAAAGTTGAAATTTTGTACACAGTTAGGGTATGTCACGAAAACGCACACTAAGAAGGGATTTATCGAAATTCCCCCCGGGGGAGAGAGACAGGATTAAGGTTTCGACAATGGAAGTGTTAAGTAACAATGGAATTGTTAAGAGAAAACGACGTGCAAGACGCAGATGCAGTTTTTTTTTCGTTTTTGCGGGAAATCGAACATATTTTTAGACCCATCTAAAAATTCTCTAATTCGTCCGGAAACAGGGGAACCCAATTCTTGCATTCTGTGAAAACGGGCAAGGTTGACTATAACGTAATAATTTTAATCTTCGCTATCGCTACTTTTGCCCGAGCAACGCCGGGCCTACCTGCTAGTTTTGAAATATTTTGATTTACGCTAACAAATACATTAATTAACAAACATTTATTTCGTTTTACGTAACATGTTCAATTAAATTAACGAATTTTTAAAAAATTTAAAATTACATATAATTTAGATATATGTTTTTAAAGAATAAATTTTAAATCATATCGACATATCGATTATATCTGATGAATTATATTTGCGCCAATAAATTAATAAGATTGATTATTAATTCTAGCACTTTAGTAGCGAATATCGATTATGAAAATATGTTCTGAAATATTAATGTACAGAGTAGTTCTATATTAATGAACAGTTAAATATTTAGTTATTTAAATGCATCGCTGTACAACAATTACTATATGTGTCACAAGTGTACAAGTGTTCCAGTGAATAAGAGAATATCGCTGTAATTACAGTCATAAATCTCTGAATTTTTCGTTTATACGCAAATGATAGTATTTGTTATCAAGCACTGCCGTAGATACGATTAATTATTTGAAAAGTAAAAAATACATATTATCACAAAAGGAAGCGAGAAATAAAAATATTGACTTGAAATACAATAACAAATTTCGAAATTTAATAAATTGCTTGATAATAAAATTTGTAAATTAAATAATTCTTTTGAAAAGAATTATTTATATTAAAAAAAAATTTATTCAAGATGTATTTTTTCCAGAAGGCTCGAATAGCAGTTATGTTTGGAAAATTGCTCTAAACTTGGTAAAATTCACGACTAGTCGATTGCATTAATTCGAATTTCTTTACATTTCATTTATATATTAAAATTTCAGCCAGATGTAGAAAGAAATAACTCCAAAAAAGATATCGTTGAATCGGACGTTCTATTTAATCTTATTAGAGAAAAGTTAAATTTCAGGTAAGATCATTTTTTACTACAAAGTGTATCACACTTGACTTCCTAAAAGATAATTTTTCAAATTATTTAATAAGTAAATAATTTGTAGCTTATACACTATGTGCTTGAAGTTCTTTGTTGACCATTTCTCTAATAATATCCGTTATAAATGGATCTTGTTTTCTCTCAGTATCTTTAAACAAGGGCATACTCAGAGAGGGGCAGGGATGGGCAACTGCCATTCCCTAGAAGAAAAATTAAAATGTAGTGATTGATACACAGACACGGCTCAGACGTATTAATTTAGTATCAGTTTGAATAATGAATATTTTGACTAGATTAGGGCCTAGAGTCATCTGTCGTAAAATCTTAGAACTATTTCGCTGTTCGCTGCTATTCTTGCACTCAAAGAAACTGAGTTGTCCCCCTCTAGTTCAGATCCTGGGTACGCCGCTGTCTACAAGAATGCAAACTGAAAAAAAGATTCAGAATGAAAACTCAAACGTTGCCATTGAAAAGTACGCGTTATTTTTCACAATAGTCTCCGCAAGAAAATTGCAATACAATTTAAGAGTAAAGGAACAAACAAATAAAAAAGCAACACATTCACGATTAATCCATTAAAGCCATTAAAAGCATAAAGAAAGTATTGAGTGGAAACAGATATTTTCCAATATAAATGATAATTTTCTGAACCTTACAATTCTGAATGGCTTATTTGGAGTCTATACAAAAATAGACTTCTGTATAAATCAGCCATTAGCCCTACAACTCCCTATGATTTCACCAAAATTAAAAGTATTTAAATTTATCGCTTGCTGGTATTAATATTGTGAATATTCTGATTTGATGACAACTATCGGCATTATAGCACTAGTAATAATGAAAAACATAACTCAGTAAACCTAATTTGCCGTTCAAAGTATAATTTGATATATCGCGACTTTAATTTATTTACAACTTCACTTCAAATAGTAACAGGTTCGGATATCGTAAATATGTAAAGTTCATAATTACAGAATTAAAGATTTTAGAAGGAAATAATTTATTTATAATTAAATTTTTGTAACTAATTTTAGGTACGAAGTTGTAGATCCGATGTTGAAAGTATACGAGAAGAAAAATGAAAGTCATTTATTTCCGGGATCATTCGGAATCGTTGCCAATAAGGTATTTTTTACATAAATTGCTGTCGGTTGTAAAATGATAAGTAATATCCGGTAAAATTCTTAAAATATAATTAAATATGATAATAATCAAATTATGTTACCGACTGATATATTACTTAATATTTACATGAAATTTGCATTTATTTTATTTTACGAAAGGTATCATCAAAAACATATTCCTGCAATATATCTAATTACGTGGAATCAATAAACAAATTACAGTTTACTACAAAGAAAAAGGTTCGGTTTTCATTCAATATTTTTTTATACTTGCGTTTTATTACCTTCAACTGGTCTTGGCTCACTATGGAACCAATACGCCGTTGTTGGCGCCATGAGTTGACAGAAGTTTTGTGCAATGCCCTTCTATAATAGACTATTACAGGCAGCTGTTCAGTGTGAACTTTTTCCTTTAGAACTACACTTCTGATTGTACGACATACAATTCAGAATTTCAAAACGCTTCGCATTCCAAATGGCGATTTTATTTTGCAATTCACTGTATAAAATCGTTATTTTTAAAATGTTTTGAAAAGATAAAAAAAAATGCAAAAATCGTAAAATGTAACGACCACACCTGTCATCGGCAACTTGCCGGGTTGTTGGCCAGTTAAATTTGTTATTTTGTTTAAATATATATTTTTATTTGAAACTACACATTTATATGGTGTAAATTTTAATGTAAAATTTGCGGCGTGCTTACATTTTCGGCGACAAGAGTAATCTGTGTGTTGATTATTTTCAGTTTTAGAACAATTGTGTGTGTGTGTTGTTTATTTTCATTTATATTTCACTTAGTAGATAGAAATGACGAACAAGAAAAAAATAAAGACTTTGGCCATAGATAAAAAGTATTCGTCACAAAGACTGCGAAGAAAATAAAAAGAGAGAAAAATAAATAAACATTGCGATAGAATTCGACAGATTACTTATTACTCCCATCTAAAAATAAAGAAGAGTATGGGAAGTTTCAATAAATGATAGAAATAGACACAAGAAAAACGATAAAATTTGATTATCCACACGCTGAATACTGCATACCGAAGTCGTTTGTACAGTTTACAGACAAGAATGTTCCTGTCAATAAAAAAGTTTTTAGAGAAAACTCAACAATTCGAATAACAATTAGGACATACCGGATTCAGGGCAAGCAATGGACGCGAAGTGTTTGAAAATTTTACCAGAAATTGTACAAAACTAAAAGACAGATATCGTTTTAAACAAACGAATTGGCTAATTTTATAAATTTCTGCCGAATTATACAATTGATTTTAGGCGATTGGCATCACGGAGTTAAAATAAGCAAAGGCTGTGTAACTAGTCCTTTGGGAGCGAACATCACGGGTAAAGAAAAACTCTCGTCCTTGTTAATTGAATAATCTTCAATGTCTCCATGATTATACAATGCCAAGGTCTAATAATTAGATTTTAACACTAAATGCATAATGCAATTTCTCAACTGCAAACATTAGGATAAGAAAGCATTCAAAAAATTACTGTAAAGAAGATTATTACCGGAGAAATACTCCGATAACTGATTGTAAAAGTGTATACCATAGTAATTGTTTCTAGTGTAATGCTTACGTCAGTCCTTCGAAAGTCTTAATATGCTGTCCACGGCTGGATTGATTATAGACAAGACAAAAAAATAAAAATAAAAATCTATTGTACACATGAGAGAGCATCGGTTTCTTTAATTGTGATGTCTTTGATGTTATATAAACCTTTTAATGTAATTTTTATGTACGTAGTTTATTTTACTTTATTACTTTTATGAAAACACCAAGTGAACAGGCACTCGAAAAGAGTCCAAAATGCATTTTGGGTGTGTTGTATACATTTTAGATTCAATGATTATAAAATAATGCCTCATTCTTTTGTAAATTTAGATATAAAATAAAATAAACAATTTTTGTAATATTATATTCACTGCTGTGATAAGCCCTAAAATTTAAATAACTGGTTAAGTTATCAGATAAATTTAAATTTGAAGAGTTAATATTTACGTTAACGACGTTAATAATTTAAGAAGAAGTTAGATTATGGCAATTAATAACTTAAGTTTTGATGAAACTCGTAAGCCAAATATGTTCACTGAAATGTTTTAGTATTTTCGAATTAAACGTATGAGAATGACTTATTAATATTTTTTATCAATAATCTTTATTAACTGTAAGTGAAGGCATTTGATGTTCAAACGCTGTAAGATACAGAATCAGCGAATCAAAATATCTGCTTTTATTTTTACAATAAAATAATTTGAAACGTAAAATTTTTCTGAGATTAGGAAGCGGATGTAACCTTAGACGTGTACTCTATCACCTACGATCGTTTCCTGGCCGTGGATTTCTCCATTTTTGCCGTTCGTCCTGTTACATTTATGTTGAAGTGCGGAGATACAAAGTTCAGCTGGAAAGCGATTGCTAGACCATTCGCTTATCAGGTATGCTATTAATTAATGTTGTTTCGTAATAAAATGACAAATAATAATTATAAATTATTATTTTAGTAAAAACTTTTTTTGAATAATTGCTATCATAATATAAATGTTTTGCGTATATATTATGATCGTATATTTGCATTTTTACTGCATACATATGCAGTGAAAAATGTTTTTCACACAAGAAGTAATAGCTTCTGCTCGGAAATTTGTAATTTCTCGAGTTTTATTACAAATGTATAATAAAAACTTAGGATTGAAATAATTAAAAAAATATATATATACATAATATAATCCAAATAAAAAATGCCCAATTAGGTTTTCTTATATTTCAATGAAATTCGTGCCACGTAATCGGAATAAACGATCCGGAAAAAATTAAGATTCTCGATTCCACATTTTTGGCAATTGTTCCTGGAAGTTGCATATCACTCATCAAATTTGTTTAAATTATAAAAAATGTTCTTTTACGCGAAACACTGAATAACTTTTAAAATTTAAAAACCAGTACAGTCGACCCCCCTATAATTACAGTCCCTATAATTACGATTCCTATAAAACTACGAAAAAATTGTGACGGTATCCGTAAAAAAAGGTAAAAAACTCCTATAATTACGTAAAACGTCATCGGGCAGCCGAACTACTTTTCCGCCGTCCGTAGCGCCACGCTATGGAGAGATTTCTATCGTCTGGACAGTATTATATAAATTATATATAAATTAGATACTGTACATATAATTATATATTAATTATATATAANAATCGTTATTTTTAAAATGTTTTGAAAAGATAAAAAAAAATGCAAAAATCGTAAAATGTAACGACCACACCTGTCATCGGCAACTTGCCGGGTTGTTGGCCAGTTAAATTTGTTATTTTGTTTAAATATATATTTTTATTTGAAACTACACATTTATATGGTGTAAATTTTAATGTAAAATTTGCGGCGTGCTTACATTTTCGGCGACAAGAGTAATCTGTGTGTTGATTATTTTCAGTTTTAGAACAATTGTGTGTGTGTGTTGTTTATTTTCATTTATATTTCACTTAGTAGATAGAAATGACGAACAAGAAAAAAATAAAGACTTTGGCCATAGATAAAAAGTATTCGTCACAAAGACTGCGAAGAAAATAAAAAGAGAGAAAAATAAATAAACATTGCGATAGAATTCGACAGATTACTTATTACTCCCATCTAAAAATAAAGAAGAGTATGGGAAGTTTCAATAAATGATAGAAATAGACACAAGAAAAACGATAAAATTTGATTATCCACACGCTGAATACTGCATACCGAAGTCGTTTGTACAGTTTACAGACAAGAATGTTCCTGTCAATAAAAAAGTTTTTAGAGAAAACTCAACAATTCGAATA